GGCTAAATTTCCACTGCAGTTATAGAAAGTATATAAGGGAACAAACTTTGATAATAAAGCGCACACATGCCTCCTCCTGGATGAAGAACCTTGGTGTCCTGTGATTTTTTTTTTTTTAACCTCGACATCCTTCGCCAGACTCGGTTCCTGAGGCCGGATGCGGCATTTATTTACTATTATGCTCCCAGAAAATAGAGATAAATTCAGAAAATAGAGATAAATTATTTTCAACAAGTAACATTGTATCTCTAAAAAACAAAACTTAGATCTTTAGTGAAGATAGCTTTTTCTTGAGATTTGAGCAGGGATTTATTGGTTAAGATTAAAAAAAAAAAAGCTTGAGCATTTTCTCACTGTATTCATCTGTTATTTTTACAGATTTAACTATTAAGTCCAAAGTGCTTTCTTTTGGTATGTTTTGTGGTGCTGGAGATCAAATCCCCGAACCTGTGCACACTAAGCAAATGCTCTAGAAATGATCTACATCCCAGCCCACTGCTTTGTTACTATGAAATTTAACATTATAGCAAATTATTCACTAACCTCTGCCCACTCAGTAGATCCAAGAAGACCAAATTCTTCTGCATCCCAGCTTGCAAACAAAATTGTTCTTCTAGGCCTCCATGCTAAAATATATATGTATATGTATATAAATACTGGGGAAAAATGTACTGTACCCAAGAAATTATCAAGCCCAAATAGGGGAAAATAAACAAATACAAAAAAAAAGAAGAAAAGAAAGAATTGAAAGCATCATTTGTTGATTAGGAAGGGTGCATTTTGAATTTAAGAATCATAATGGGCTAGACTTTGTGGCTCATACTTATAATCCTAACAGCTCAGGAGGCTGAGACAGGAGAATCACAAGTTCTAAGCAAACCTCAGTAACCATGAAGCACTAAAAATCAGTGAGATCCTGTCTCTAAATAAAATTCTAAATAGGGCTGGGAATGTGGCTCAGTGGTCAAGTGCCCTTGAATTAATCTGGAGTAGCACCCCCCCCCCAAAAAAATAATTTCCTTTTGTAAGATTTTAAAGGTGATTTGTCAAAGTGAAATAGCATGATTGAAAAGGGAGAAATAAAGACACAATAATAGTCTTTAAAAAGCCATAAAATATTCTAATAAATTTTTGATAATTGGCTATGGATTAGAAGGCTTTCTGTTCTGCAGTTGCCTAAAAAGAAAGAAGATATTGCTAGGTGCAGCCAGAGTTCTGACAACCCATGGAACTGAAAAATCATTTCCAACTCCTCCCTGTGGTTCTGACATCACATAAACAGATGCTCAGTGTCAGCTGACAGTGTGATTTCACTCCAGCCTCTGGTAGAATTAGTGAACAGGGGCTCCATTAGCAACAGCAATGCCTGTTGCTGCTGAAATATGTGTAATTCAGTGAGGGAGGTCATGTGGATGGGCGGTAAGACTCTAGCCTCAGAGTTAAAGAAAGATCTTGTTCAAATCTTGATTCTCTCACTTACAAGAGGTGTCATGAGGTGAGTTATTCAAACTGACCAAGTCTATCTCCTCATCACACCAGGACAACAGAATAAATGTGAAGTCACTACTTGAATATTGAGGGTTAAATGGAGCAATGCTCAAAAAGCTTTTAGTGATCCCAAAATTCTAAGCTGTCATTGTTAGTAAATATTTCATGTGTATTTATTAGGAATATTTATCCTGGCTTATGTTTATATTTTAGTTGCTAAATAAGCTATATTAAAATGTGTCTACACACACATACACACATCCCAAAAAAGAATGCTTATGCTATAGCTGTTGAATTTAACATCCTGTTTTTTAAAGTTTTTTAAAAGCATTATTCAGATTTCCTATTATTATTCCTTAACATTTCATTGTTTCAGCATACTCTATAATTGCCACAGACATGTTTTGCATTTATCAGAGAGATTTTCAAGTGTCATATCAAATCATGAAACATTAATGTGTGGGAGAATCAAACTAAGGATTGAACCTAGGGGGCACTTAATCAGTAAGTCACATCCCCAGCCCTCTTTTACAATTTTATTTAGAGACACAGTCTCAATAAATTGTTTAGGGCCTTACTAAGGCTTTGAACTTGTGATCCTTTGTCTCAGCCTCCTGAGCTCCTGGGATTATAGATGTATACCATGATGCCTGACTCAAATCATAAAGTTTTTTTTTGTAATAAGATTAAACACTACCAATTCATTTAATATGTAAATTCGGGTCTCCATTCATTTATTTTCTTAAAATCTAAGATATTTCTGTGGAGAAGAGAATGGAGAACCCTTGTGTTTTATTTTAATTGGAGACAATATGGTTTTGTGAAACAGTACCCAGAAATTTCAATCTAAACTCTGATTGTCTCACTGGGCCACATATTACCTACAAGACCCTGAGAAAATTATTTAATTCTCTAAACTTGGTTAACTTATCTGCAAAAGAAATACTAAAATAACTACATAAACTTCTCCCTGGTTGTTATAAAGTCAAAATGAGTCATTTATATGATAACACTGTTTCTCAAAGAAAATCAATAGCATGCAAACTAAACATACTTTCACTGTTGTTTTTACTGTTGCTTAAATATAATGTTTTCATCTTACAGCCCTCAGACACCTGGTTTGCAGGGTCAGAAAAGAGAATAGACTTGCTGCTCACAAGGTATAAAAATTACTTTAAAAATCATTGAAACTACATTTTTTATTTTGGTTTTCATATGAAGATTCTAAAATGACTGAATCAGTGGTTCTAAGTATATGGATGAGAATAGGAGAGAACAGACACCCTACATTGAGCAGAATCCCATTAGACAGCCAGATTAGTATTTCTCTGGGCATAGCTTCTATATCCTTAGTCTTCATGACCTGAGGAGTGAGACTGAAGGAGCCCAGGAATTTCTGTTTGCAGCTCTCTGACAGGAAATCTTTGGCTTATGACCTTTTATGGAAGAACCTGGCTACATCTTCTTAATTACCAAGAACAGCCAAGAACAGTGCAATTCCTTCATGTTAGATTATCATTTAATTTATGCTACCAATAATACCATAGTCCGTAATAAATTAAAATTAATAAATAAATTATCTAATAATAATGGCTGTCTTCTATTTTGATCAACAGATAGCAACAGCTAAGATGGTATTTTCAAATTAACACTACAGAAGACTTAGTTGAGAATTCAAAGAGACGGGTCTTTTATTTTTTGTTTATATTACCTTCCTTTTTCAGTGTTCCAAAGCTCCTCACAATTTCATGAACAACAGCTGCTCAACTCTGAGGGTCAATGCCCCCAAAGACCCATGAGTCTCGGTGACCTCCAAGAATGACATATCTGTCTAGAAACCAACATTGCAAGGCTGTGGCTTTAGGTCAAAAATGGAGTAAATTGCAAATGATTCAACAATATCTAAACAGGAAGCACTCACAACTCAAGAAAAATAGCAAGTTTCTTGAAATCTTGTGCAAATGTGCTGTTTGATCTGATTTTAATATGCTTCCTCTCTATAAAGAGAGTATGAATGTGATAGAGAAAATACATACCTCAATATATTACTGTAATCCAAACTATATGGACAATTATATACTTTTATTTTTATCCACCTTTTCAATTCTCTATTACTCTCTCTTACCTTACCACTTTCCTTCCAACATTTTCGGAGTGAAAAAACACAGTTCTGTACTTTCTACTCTTCCAAATTTTCAAGGTACAGGTCCTAATTTTTCCTCTCTGAACTTTTATCTCTCATAGAAAAAAGGGAATTGTTCTGTCTACCCAGTTCTCAGGGCAAGTTTCCACATCTGATAAAACACAGATTACAATTGAATGTACGGCTCTCCTTACAAAGTAGGGGCCCCTCATCCCAGGTCTTTATTATTCTTTCAGTCTCAGTGTTTAGCACATTGCCCATACAAAATAAGATGCAATTAAGAGCTAGTTATACATTGTTCAGTACTCACTAGAAGGATATCAACATTCTTGATCCCTTATAAGAAGAAGCATATAAAATTTACATGTATCTATGTTAGTAAGGAACCAACTAGTTCCTATGGAACTGAGATGTGCTAAAAGAAGGCTATATATAAAATATATTAATCAGCACATCATTTGAAAAACTATGGAATGCATGTGTCTAGATATTGTCAATTACTTTAGTTGTAGAAAATAACATTCTACAAAGATTTCATTAACTTAAGTTTATCTTAGTTTTCTGAGTTTTTCCTTTTGTGCAGATGTTTGTAGTTATCGTTAAAACATTTCCTTATGTAAAATATATGGCAAGCAAATCAAGAAAACTTAGAGAAACACCTCAAATTTCTCTCCCTGCCCACCTTGCTTTAATTCTTTGACTGAAACACTCATAGTTTATCACTCACTTCAGTCATCTCCCCAAGCTAGCTCCACTTTTCTTTTCTTCACAACATGTATAACAATACCATATTACATTATAGATAGTGTTTAGGCAAATTTTATTAGGGCAAAGTGTCATATTCTTTGTTCATATTATGGCCCCAGAGCTCAGACCACCACCTGGAACATAAGAGTTTCTCACTCAATATTTGCTGAGAAAATAGTTAATTTACCTGGTTCCATGGCTCCTCTGAGAGTACCAGTCACATTGTAAATCCTTGTCACTTCACTGTTGGAATCAATGTGCATCTTGACTTTTCTAAAGAAAAGAGAAAGCATACATTCTCAAAAATCCTGGTTAACAAATTAACACCACAATTTTTAAATCTTCTTTCATTGTTTAAATTACACTAGCCATTTTTTTTCTAGTTGTAGTTGGACACATTACCTTTATTTTATTTATTTTTATGTGGTGCTGAGGTTCAAAACCATTCCTGGAATGTGCTAGTCAAGAGCTCTACTGTTGAGCCACAACCCCTCTAAAAGTGTGGCCCACTTCAACCTCTAGTTTTGCTTCCTACTGGTGCTATATACATTTTACTTTTTATGTCATTCTCTACAATTTTAGTCTCTTAAAAGATCTGTATTAAAGAATTAAATTGAAATACTCTCTTAACCGTGTAGAGAATTTTCCAGTATAGCCAGGTCCCACATTATAAGGCACTTTGAGACCTCCTTTCCAGCTGCTATCTGGTGGTGCTGAGCCACCCATGTATCTGTTGGACAAAAAAAGGAAAAAATATCATTATTAGCTGGAGGAAAACTTTTACTTTATTTAACAAGTTGTAAGTGTCAATGAATTTACTTTCTTGAGCATTTGTTTACAATAGCTTCTATGAGAGAGGTGTCATGTAAAACATTTTGAATATAATATGCCAATTAATCCTTACTACAAGCCTTATAAAGTAGGTTCCATTATTTTTCCCAATTCGCAGATGAGAAGTTTGAGGCTAAGTGTGATTAGGTAACATGCACAAAGTTTTGTGCTGATAAGTGGTACAGCTGAGATTTAAATTATTGACTAGAATTTTAACTTTGTGCTACTACTCTCAAGAGTAAATGTTAGAAGTGCTCTCCAGAGTATGCTCTGAATAAAAAGCTTGATGTATAACTCTTTGGAATTTTCCCTGATAAATATACTCCTAAATCTTTGTATTGTCATCTCTTACAAAAAGTGTATTTTCACATAACTACCTGGAAAAAAAGAAAGATCAAAGGAAATAATTTTGCTTAA